TTCTTTTCTCTCATCCACTCTCCATTCTACCATTTTATTTGAGTATCTCTTCCAGGGGCAGGTAGCCTATAAGGTAGCTTCTATTTATTTGAAACTCTTTGGTAAATATCTTGGGATAGGACAGTGGGTCTCTGCCTTAGATTCACTTGGGGAACTTGTAGACCTACCAAACCTTGATACCTTTATAAGCTCCTCCAGGTAACTCGCATGGGCAGCCAGCATTGAGAATGGTTCTCAGTGCTGATGGCAGAGTAGAAACACCTGTAGCTTTAAAAATACCTGCTGATGGCCTGGACATTGTCAGAGCCTCTGATTTAATTGGTCTGGGGGTGAAAACCATAGGCAGGCCTCCTGTACCTTGGGTTCACAATAAGGAATAAGACTAAATGACCACCACAGTCTCCATGGGAGGAACCCCTCCATTCTAGCATTGGCTAACAGCATGTTTGCCTGAACCTTTTCTAGTATTGGCTTTTGCGGCAACTTTCTGGCTCTGATGCTTGACAGTTCTGTGATCCCAAGAAGAATGTTCACCTCCCTGATTAACTTTTTTAAAAAAATCTATCAAATTAAGCCAAGAACCACTTGGCAGAGCTGCTATGAGCACCGAATGAAAGGGAAAAAAAAGATATGTAAAAAATATATATAAAAGAGCGCAGCATCGTACCTGGTGTATACCTGGTTCATACAAAAAGCTCAGCAACTCTGAATTGCAAAGAATAAAATGCTGCCATCCCCTCCCATAGGAAAATTCTATGAATCAACAAATAGTTTTGAGCACCCACTATCAGAAGAGCATTGTGATATGATTTCTTTCTGTGCGTAGGAGGGAGAGATACAAAGATGAATGCAGAGATAATCTCTGCCTTCAGGGAATTTCAAATTGGCATGTACAGACAGGAAAATATAGCATTGAATCCAGTTCTATGTATACAACACTCATACATTTCTCTATTTTTCTAATAGAGACCCGAATGAAGTAAATGTGAATCAGAAATAAAATCAATATGCTGTGTGATCTCAGAGCAAGGACGAAATAATTTTCCCTGGGGAGATCAGGGAAGCCTGGGATGGCATTTGAGCCGGGTTTCTTTAAAGGTGTGTTACATTTCCACAAGTGAGGAAGAGCTGGAAAATGCTGAAGGGTGACATGGACCGAGGCTGGGAGGCTGAGACATGAGTTTGCAAACCTTTGCTGAGAATCCACGAAGGAAGCCTTTGCCTGTTTTGCTAAGGAATTTAAACCTTGAACCTGAAAACAATTGGGGACCATTGGAAGTTTGAGTCTTGGGACATGTCCTCTGGTTAGAGGTTTTAGTTCCCTTATCCTAGCGACCAATGGGAATGGGTTGGCAATGTATGAGTCGGAACATGCCTCTCGATCTCTTCCTCCCCACGCTGGCCCACAGCCAAGGCCTCAGATACCCCGTGAAGAAGGGCAGCTCAGGAAATGTCCCTGGGTTCTGCTCCGTAACCTCCATGCCAGGTATGACATCGAGGTTCTGTCCTTGTGCATTGCTCCTGAAGTCCGCTTCTCTACCAAGTCAATTTGGAGGGCTGCCCATTTGGATGATCTGCTTAGCTTTGCATTTTGGTCTCTCCTCTGGAAAATGTCTCTGATTATCCTCCACCCACTCCCCAGTGCTGTCTAAACATCTTCCAACTTCTTTTCAGGGTGGGCTCAAATTGCTGTTATCTGAGAGCCAGAGGTTGGGTATTTTTGCACTTGTGGCTCAGTCTTTCACTTATCTGGTGACTGCAAGCAGGAGGACCTGTTGAATGGATACTGCTATAGTGCAGGCCTGAGATGAGGATGATGGGGATGAGGGCTTGTCACAGGGCTGTCGGGTTGGGGGAGGGGGTACTGCATGGACGAGACACCATGAAGTTAGACCTGACAGGGCTGTCATTTGCCTATAACTTTTCATTATGGACCCAGTTTATCTTTCTGAACTTCTGGTCTCCGGACTCATAGACTTTTTCATTTGCTCATAATGATCGTTACAATCTGATGCTCTGGGGTGGGCTTTGGAAGGTTGGTGCTAAGCCATTACTTCAAACCCAAATGCTTCTTTTATTTAAAAAAAGCAACATTTGTTATGCAAATTCTGGACCTGTTAATTGAAGATTTGGGGAAGGAGGATAAGGGCTGGGGAACATTTTGAGATCACCCAAGAGAGTTACTACGAACAGCGATCAGGATGTGATTCTGAAAAGGGAAGACCCTTTTGATAACGCTGGCCTCCTGGCTCCCACTGACCTACCTTACAGGTGAGCCTTCCTCCAAGAAGGCCTTTCAGAAAAGAATGTGGTTCCCATCTCTGCTGCACATTGGCATCGTCTGGGGAATTTTACAAAACACACTTGGCTGCCAACATTCTGACTTGGTGGTGGGCAGTACTGCCTGGGCACTGGGGTTTTAAAACCATTCCAGGAGATGCTAATGTGGAGCAAAGTCTGGGAACCTCTAGAGTAGGAGGTAGTGGGAACAAGCATTTAAGGTACAGTGGTCCTCACGCTTGAGTGTGTGTCAGGATCACCTGGAGGACTTGTTAAAACACAGATGGCTGAACTCCACCCTTAGGGTGTCAGTAGGTCTGCGGTGCAGTCTAAGAATGTGCATTTCTATCCAGTTTCCTGGTGATGCCGATAGGGCCACACTTCGGGAACCACCAGCTTAAAAGAGCCAGGTCTGGATTTACCTCTTATGAGCTGTGTGACCCTGAGCGTGTCACCCAATCTTAAGAAGTCCATTTTCAGCATTTATAACATGGGGCAGCAATGGTGATTACATCCTGGGTCGCTGTGTGAGTGAAACGAGATATTTATAAGTTGCTTGATACAGGGTTTTGCCCACAGGAAATGTGAAACTCATGGCAGACTTTATTATATATACGTTTCCTCAGCTGGGGTCTTGGCAGACTATCTTATGTTCAGTTGTGCCAGGTAGTGAATGATGTTGCATTTTTGCTCCTAGAGATCCTACTTGTAGGCTTTCTGGAACAGGAAAACTGGAATACTGTCATGAATTATGAATGTTCTGGGTATCAGAAGGGTAAAGACCCACCGTGGGGGTGTTGGCATCTGTTAAATGACGATTGCCATGCAGACCTGTCAGCCCGATGTGGCTGGCGATGGGCTGTGACTGAGTGTGCTCTCCTGCCCAAACTCCATGTTACTCTCGGATTCCAGACACATTTAACTCAGTGAGTTGAGGTTGTCCTGACGTCGCCTTGGAAACCAAACTGCTATTGAGGGAGGTGGAAACAAGGCCCCTGTTAAATTGTCTTGGAAACCACAGAATTCATCCTCAGGGAGGGGGGCTGTGATCGCCACACCATGTCTTTTCTCATGCAATTTTCCGGGTATGCTCTTCTTTTGTGTAGTTGCTCCCCCCCACTTCAGCGAGGGAGGAATGGAGGCTCAGCATGTATGTCCCCACACATTCTAGTTATCCTCGCTAGGGGAAGGGATGCCCATGGAGACTCTGCGGGCAAACCCACAAAGCCCGAGGTCTTCAAATGTACGAATGTACTTTTTCACCCATGATGGCTTCACCAGGCCAACTCTCGGGGGCTTTCTGACATTTTAAAACTTCTTCTTTTTTATAGTGGTACAAATCTAGTGAATCTTTTTCACTTCCATGTGATTTGAGGACAAGGTGCCCTATTTCCATGTTATAGTTTGAGAAACCCAGTGAGTGGGGAGAAGAGACCTTTGGGGTTGGCCCAGGAGGTAGGGGGCAGGCCATTTTACTCCATTTGGAGGACAGTTTGGCCAGAGTGAAGTTCTGCCCATTTCCAGGGATCCTAGGGGTGGATCCTGGGTTTCCCTTGGACTGAGAACTGAATGAGAGACAGAGTTAAGGAATGATAGAGTGGAGAGGCCATGGGAGGTCATTAGGTTCAAGTCATTTCTAGATAAGGTCACAGAGAATGCTGGGAGCAGAACAGAGCCTAGAAACCCAGCGTCCTGCCTTCCATCCTCACTGGGTGCCTTCCTATCTGCCCTGATGCACTTAAGGCAGTTACCTATGTGCTGTCTGCAGGTACCTATTGTTCTTGTCTGCTATTACTTTGATTCCTCTGTTGTGGCGGGTACTAGCCCTTCCTTGTAGAGGGAACCAGAGGATGGTCCAGATAACTCCTGATAGGTAGGTCATACACATGCTCTATAGGCCCCATTTATAGAATATTAATTGCAGGTCTTGTGCTCGCTGCTTTAAGTAGCTACATAACATTTAAGCCTCATAACTCATGAAGAAAGTTATTAGCATCCCCAAAATAGATCAAAGAAGGAAAGCAACTTGCCCTGGATCACACAGCAAGCAGACCAGTGGTGGAGTGAAGATGTGAAGCCAGGCCTGGTTGACTTCCCTTCAGTTTTCTTCAACCATTATATGGCTGCCTGCCCTTGGAGACTAAAGAAAATTCTGACTCAGAGAGAAAGCAGTAAGTCACACAGAGAAAGACTGCCACCTGCCTACCTAAACCTTTTCAAACAGATTCGGTATTCTGGAAAAACACAATTGCTCAGAAATAGGCACGTATGTCATCACAGCCGTCTAACTAACAATGGTGCAAAAAGTGGGGGAAAAAAACCCAATTCAGTGTATTATTTCAAATATGAAATATGTGTCTGTTGGATTTTTTTTTTCATCGTCAATATTCCTAGTCCCTTGGCTGAAGTTTTCCATGTGCTTGTGCATATTTCCACTTGCACAGACTCCACATGCTGGTGTTTTCCCTCTTGTGATAAAAAGAAGAGACGAAAGTTCTTTGTAATTACATCACCGAAGGAACATCCAAGTCTTTCCTTCCAGCAGCTAAGCCTATATGTTTTCTCCACAGGGTATTAATGACCTGGCTCCGGGAATGGGCAGACAGGGCCTGTTTTGGTGGCTTGAGCTGCCCTGCTGGCCATAATGCATTTGCTCGTGGACGCAGCAGGACTCAGAGACTTCAGCGGGGAGTGTCCTCCTCAATAAACTCAGACATGGGTAACTTGTTAAACACATTTATTGATTTCTTGACAGTAACCAAACACAGTGAGTGACCATTATAAACAAGAAAAGAAAGGCATTCGTTTGTATTTTGTGAGATCCAGCTGCACCTGGAGAGAAAAGACACCCCTTTCCCAGGAATTTACAAGGCAAAGTGCATTCCTTCAAGGGAGCATCACAGGGGGTGGGAATTGGGAGAATGGCAGTTTTGAAACGCAATAAATCTGTCACCTGCTATCTCAGGCTGAAGCTCACCTCGTATGAATGATCGAGCCATGGAGTGGAATTAAAGTTATACTTGCTTAGCAAATGCATTCCTGATTGCCACAAACTCAGTAAAAACTGGCTGCAAATGAATAAAACATGTAGATGAAGGAACAAGTGAAATCAAAGAATGCAGTTGCATGGAGCCAGGGCTTAGCCTGTAAGGAAGGAAAACAGACCAAAGCCAGAAAAATAAAATGAACTCGTTAAACACATTTATTGAGCTGTTAACAATAACCAAACACAATGTATGACCTTTGGAAAACAAGAAACAGCAAATGGATCAGTTCTGATCTTGGCAAATCCTACTACAGATATGTGACAAAGGGGAAATAATTCAATTTCTTTATAGTCTGCGGTGATATATATATGTATATATACAATGTGTATCTCTTCAATTCTCTTCAATGTCTGTCTTTTTTTTTTAAATTATTGAGTAAACAGAAGAATCATAATCTAGAAATAAGTGTCCTTGGCCAACTTTGTCCTAGTTCACCTGTCACCGGCACCCTCAAAGGATCTAGGACACTATCTGAGATTACTTGGTGCAAAGAACCAAGTCCGCTTGATGCTGTCGGAGCTGTTTTTTCCTCCTCTCTCTCTTTTGGAAGAATTTTGTATGTACAAAGGCTGAAAAGTCTCATTGGGTAGATTTATTAGTTCAGGAAAAACAGTATCAAAATTGTAATCAGGTTAACTGGTTATTTTCTTCTAAGACCTCTTATGAACGAGCCTTTTGATTCTGAAACTTGACTTCCCATCTTGGAGACTGTGTGAGTGTATAAATATGTTTGCATATATGTGTGTGTGTGTGTGTGTGTGTGTGTGTGTGTAAGAGATGTGTTCCTCTGCCATGATTTTGCAGACACTTTTCATGAAGAAAGGGCCAATCCAAAGAGTGAATGAGGCTTGAGGGAGGGAAGGAGAGAGAAGAAAGAAGGGGACATCCTAGGTTACATCAATTCATTGTTGTAGCATTTCGCTGAGATGGGATTCTTCTTGGCTTACTTCCCTACTTGAGGAGCCATTCATTTACTGGAAAGAGAGAGAGAGAAACACACACACACACACACACACACACACACACACACACACACACACACACAAAATAAGGCATAACTGAATGAATTTGCACAGAGTTTGGGGCTCTTACTCCAAAGGGGAAGGGACAGTCCTTTAAATGACTGCTTACTTGTAAATACTTTAGCTGCCTCATTGTACTAGCTATACTTCAAATGTTCAATAGCTACATGTGGCTAGTAGCTACCATACTGGACAATGCAGATATAGAATATTTTTATTGTTGCAGAAAAGACCAGGGGTGAGTAAATGACAACCTACAGGCCAAACCCAGGAGACCTGTGGTCTGTTTTTGTAAATAGTTTTCTTAAAACCTAGCCACACCTATTCATTTCCATATCATCTATGGCCCCTTTCCCATGACAACATCAGCGTGGGGCAGAGACTGTGTGGCCCACAAAGCCTAAAACAGTTACCACCTGGCCCTTTACAGAAAAAGTTTGCCTAGGCTGTAAGCTCTGTACGATTGGGGTTGTATCTGTCTTCACCACACTGTATCCTCCTCTCCAAACTCAGTGCCTGGCACATAGTAGGTACACAGTAAATAGGTGAACAAAGAGAATGCTCAAGGAATGAGCTGAGTATTTATTTGTCTAGTAGTTCTGGCTGGAAGGGAACAGAACATTATGGTTTTGGCACTCTGCGTGTGTCTGAGAGGGGAAAAAAAAAAAGAAAGGACTGTGGGGGAAGGAGGACAGATGAAGTGGGGACCAAGGGGGAGTGGTGGTAGCTGTTTCTAAAAGCTGCCTGGTAACATCCACAGCCCCCATATTTGGGCAGCACATTATTGCTAAAAAAGAGCTTCCTCATCCAGGCTTTCTCATTCATTACTCACAATAAGTCTTGGAGGAGATGGTATAGCAGCGGTTCTCAACCTTCCTAATGCCGCGACCCCTTAATACAGTTCCTCATGTTGTGGTGACCCCCAGCCATAAAATTATTTTTGTTGCTACTCTATAACTGTAATTTTGCTACTGTTATGAATTATAATGTAAATATGTTTTTGTTTTCCGATGGTCTTAGGCGAACCCTGTGAAAGGGTCACTCGACCCCCAAAGGGGTTGCGACCCACAGGTTGAGAACCGCTGGTCTATAGGGACTGTCAAGAAAGAGCCAGGTCCAGAGGGATAAATGCCTTGGCTGGGTTTGCATGGTTTGTTAGTGACAGAACCAGGCCTGAAACTTGAGTGTCCTGACTCTGGGTCAAGGGCATCTCCATGACACTATTCTGCCTCCATCTTCCTTTCTATGGTGAGGGTTTAACACAGTGATCAATAGATACTTAGTGTATAGAAGGGAAGAGAGAGGGCTGGGTGTGGACCAGCGGGTTACAGGAGGCACAAGTCATCTTGACTGGCCCTTATAGTGGTCATAACTGTCACTTCTAGGGACATAGCACTAGAAAAGGATGCATTCACATACATTACCTCATTGGAGCCCAATGACCTGGCATCAGAGTATTTGCTTACCTTCTGGAAGGGAGGGTCTATTGTGCACATAACTAAAAACTCTAATGCTTCTAGATATCATGTTCTAACACATAATCTTGAAAAAAAAAATCAACCTCTCTGGGCTCCTCTGTAAAATGGCAATAAAAAGGCCGTTTTGCCTGAGCCAGCAGGGATTTAAAGTTTGATCTCTCCCTCTAACCTATAGGCTTTACCAACAGAAAAGCACCATGCACGTGGAGGGTTTGTCTTATTTGTCATTTATAATCAGGATTTCTATAATGGGAGATAACACCAGGCCTTTAAGAACAGGTCTAAGCAGGAGGGCTGAGCTCTGACCAGGGTCACCTGCAGCTCAGGTACCCACCTCTATACTGAAGCTTCTGGGCTCGGTTGTTTGGACAGTCCTTCCCCTGTAAACTGAAGTTGATGTTGGTGCGGATACAGCGGTTGTTGAGTGGCTGGACAGGCCTGAAGTTGTCACTCATGCTCAGAAAGATCTGAGATGGCTGATTCTGGCTGAGCAGGCGTAAGGAATGCATCTGAGGGGGAGAGAAACAGATGTGATATCCACCCATCCTCTTAGATGCAAGAGGCAAGAAGTCAGACTGTGTAGACTGTGGCCAAGCTAGGCTGTCTGGGAAAGGGCACATGAGCCCCTCAGAGACCCTTGTTCCATGGGTTCAGTTGTGCTGGAGGCCCACGGATGCCTCCATGCATGGAGCGAGCCTTACTTCTAGCTCGGTAGTTCATGGATGCCTCTGAACAAGTCAATTACTTTCTTGTATCCTCAAATATGCCATCTGTCAGAGGAGGAAATCCAGCTAGGTGTTCTCCAGGGCCTCTTTCTCTTACACCCCATCGTTCAATAATTCCCAGCAATTCAGGGAATTATTCCCCCATATGGGTATTATCTAAACTACAGTGATTGGCCTAGGGGTCAGGGCGAAACTAAGCTGGATTTGTGTGGTTCTTTTTCTGGGAAATCAGGACCAGCAGCTGCACTAACATGTTTGCAGCCATGTTGAATCCCAGAGCTGAGAAGCACAGGAGGAGTCTCTAGCAGGAGAGAAGAAGGAAACAAGTGCGCAGGAGAGGGCAGAGATGAAGGGCTCCTGGGGTTCTGATTCCAGCAAATTCCTGACATCAATTTCAGATCTTCAATTCCATAAGCAGAGCCAACATTTCATGAACAAATCCTTTTTCTAAGTTTTTAAGTGATCTGGAGGGGGCTGCTTGTCACCAAAGTCCTAATCAATATAGATATAATCAGGGACTTCAAATTGTTCACATTGTTGTTGGGTTATAAGTTGACCCTTGAAAATCTGTGAATAACTTTTGATTCCATCTTAAAACTTAGTTGTGTCTCGATATGCATGGGGGATTGGTTACATGACCCCCTGCAGAAACCCAAATCCATAGATGCTTAAGTATCCCATATAAAAATGGTGTGGAACAATGCATACGGTTGTCCCTCCACATCTGTGGACTCCCAATCACAGATGGAAAACAGTACAGGGATTTATTGAAAAAAATCTGCATAGAAGTGGACCCGTGCAGTTCAAGCCCGTGCTGTCGAGGGTCAACTGTACACATCCCGTAGACGAGAATGGGTTCTGCTTCCTTTGCTCATCTTTCCTCTGAGTTTTTACAATCTCACAATCACAGGATGTCAGAGCTGAAACAGGTACATGTAACATACCTCCTCATCAAAAAGGGCAGTATTTATTTCACAAGAGGGGGGTGAAATTCCCCATAGGAGCACATAATGAGCCACTAGCAAAGCTGGCCTCAGAGGCTAGATCTTCTGGTTCCCATCCAGCTCTGAGGAATCCTGGCCAGCTTTATTAGGAATCCTGTGAGATAGTTAAAAAATTCCTCATTCAAATATGTTTGTGAAATGCCACCTATCATATAGCTTCCCCTTGGAGACTGACATATGTATTATCATTTTAAATGCCTGAGAAGTCTCCCAACAGTGAAATCTAATTAACTTTTTTAACCCAGATTTGCAAACACATTTGACCATATCATCCATTTTGCTCATTTGCTTTTTGAATACTATCTCCACAGAACACTTTGGGAACAAACCCCGCTGTCCTTTCTCACACTCAGACAGGTCTGGTGCTTCTACAATTTGTTCATGCTAAGTCTTTTCAGATGCTGATTTTTGAAACATAGGTGTGATGAGTTGAATTGTGTACTACACAATTCATAAGTTAAAGTCCTAACCCCACAGTACCTCAGGCATGTGACCTTATTTGGAAATACGGTTATTATAGATGGAATTAGCTAACATGAAGTTATTGAGGTAGTCCCTAATCTGACCGATTGGGGTGGGCCCTAATCCAATATGACTGGTGTCCTTGTAAAAAGGGGGATTTGGACAAAGAGACACAGACAGAGGGAGGACACCATGTGCAGCTGGAGGCAGAGTGGGGATGATGCTTCTATAAGCCAAGGAACACCAGAGACTGTCAGAAACCAGGGGAGAGGCATGAGACAGATTCTTCCTCACTCCCCCAGAAGGAACCAACCCTGCTGACACCTTTACCTTTAACTTGGAGTCTCTAGAACTGTGCGACACCGCATTTTGTTATTCAAGCCATCAAGTTTGTGGTAATTTGTTAAAGGAGTCCTAGCAAACGAATACAATAGGCACTACACAAACCCAACCAGTCTTACATTACCTTCCCCATTCGCTAAAATGCCACAGGGAAGCTCACCTGCATCCTCGTTATGTAGACAGGTTTGTTCATTATTATCCAACTTGCTGTCTCGTAGCAGGGTGGGATAGTCATCGACCCATCGTAAGTAATGAAACTAGAGGTCTCTGGATATAGCTCCTCTATATTAAGTCCCTGTAGTAAATATGCATCATCTAAAGAAGGAAAGAAGAAAGACTTAAGAATTAGGTTTCTTGGGCCGGCCAAGTGGCGCGATGGTTAAGAACTGGCTTGGGACACCAGAGGGCCCCGGGTCGGATCCCACATATGAGGGCCAGTGACACTGCCCTCCACAGCTAAGATGCGGAACAACAGCTCAACCTGGAGCTGGGCTGCTGACAGTCGACTGCGACTGCATAGGCTGCAGCCCCTGTGGCAGTGGGTTGTCATGGGCTACCGTGTGTAGCCAGCAGCCAGCGTGAGCGGCCAGCAGCCGCAGTGAGCGGCCGTCCAGAAGCCGGCGACTGATCTGCCTCGCCTGGGAAGAGCGCAGTGATGGTGCCAACTTGGGCAAGTGAAACAACGTCCACAACTAGACTGAAGAACAAAATGACAGCAACTTGTCTGTTCCCCTTCCCCCATTCCCCAGTGCTGTTCCTATCCCCCCAATTCCCCAATAAAAATCTTAAAAAAAAAATTAGGTTTCTTGAGAGAGTGCTGGGATTGCTGATCCCCCCCCCCCCATTTCTGATTTCAAAAGACGGTATCCATCAGGATCAGCTGCAGGAACAACAGTCCCTCAAATCTCAATCACTTTAAACAATAAAGGTTTATATCTTGCTCACATACAGGTCCATTCTAGGATGGTCCATTCTTCCATGTCACTGTTGCCTGCACTCTGGGACCCAGATTCTTACTGTGGCTGCTTTCTGGACACTTGTAAGTTGCAATGATAGGAGGAGGAGAAACACGGTCACACATATGTTGGCTCTTAAATCTCCTATCCCAGAAGTGGCACATGTCACTTCTGCACACATTTTGGTAGCCAAAGAAGTCCCACGTCCAAGGTTGACATTAGAAATGAGAGGAAGCACATTCTTCCTGCAGGATGGGGCATTGACTATTGGTGAACAGAAATATGGTCTACCACAAGGACACAGGAAGAATCAAGTACTTGGTTATGGTCCCTGAGACCTGAACCCAGAGCATTAAAGTCATAATGAAATGCCCACTCAAAGGCTTCAGGACCTGTGGAAACATTGCCTCAGCACCATTCTTAGCATTGCTTAATTGAAAAAAAAATTGGGAAACTAGTATTAGAAAGAAAAGTAAATCAGACCAAATCCTACCATGAGATTCAACAGTTAAGTTCCACAACTGATTTCGTTTTTGTGGATCTCCTTTCCGTCAGGCCCAAGTGGATAGCCTTTTCTCTTATACCTATGTGAGGTAATCACACTCATATATCTTTTATTATTAAATTTACTTTTTCAATTATAAAAGTGACATAAGTACACATCAGACTCTATAGAAAAAAGAAAATAATAACCCAGGTCATCTAAAACAATTGCCATTAATATTTTTCCTTCTGAATTTTTTTTTCATTTAATGCATTGGTTGTATTTTTATGAAACTGTAATGTACCGGAGTTTTCAAATCGCAATAAATTGCAATCACCCTCTCTCACTCCACTCTTCTCCCTTCAATCCTTTTTTGCACACTTTAGCTCTCTTCTCCTGGCTGCTAAAGCACCATATTTTCCTGGCCATTATTCTTGGGCTCCGTTGCTGGCTCCTGATTTTCTACCTGCTTCTCTCAGTGCTGGCACTTCCTGAGGATCAGTCCAAGGCTCTTTTTTCATCCCTCACTCTATACTCTCATCGTAGGGTAGCGCATCTGCTTTCATGGCTTCCATTGCCATTTCTGCCCAAGTGATTCCAGATCTATACCTCCAGAGGTCTTGCACCCCCCAGTTTGCCATGAGCATCCACCACTGTGGCCCATCCAGGAGGCCTGGAGAACACCTGGCAAGGACCCAAAGCCTGGCTCGCTGAGGGATGAGACGGGCTCCTCCAGTCTTCCTGGACGTATGTATGTTTCTCTAATCCACGTGTTCAACTCCCAGTGGGAAAGAACTAACTCTTCAGTGGTTGATATAATCTTTCAGGTTTAGAACTGTGCACATGTAATGGTAAAAGAAGACTTCTACATATAGCTGGAAACTCATACTGACCTAGTGAGATTGTTTAGGCAGATAATAATACCCTCACAGACAAGACGCTGAAGATCAGAGAGGTAGCATAACCTGCCCGAGATCACAGAGCTAGCTTGTGACTGCAGAATGGGAACTGAAACCCAGTTCTCCTGACCTCCAGAGCATGGTCATTCAACAAATGTCCACTAAGTACCTCTTTGTGCTGGGCACAAGGTTAGGCTCAGGGGACAGAGCAACGAATAAGGTGGCTGCAGTGCCTGCCCTCATTCTAGTTGAAGAGACAGGCAACAAATGGCAAAGTAAATATATGTGGACTCTAATATCAGGTGGTGATAAAGGCACCTCGGCCTGGCCTGTACCTACCTACCTACTGATCCTGAGCATTAAGGCTACTAATCCATTCTCCCATCTCTTCCTTTCCCATCTCTCCCTCCAGAAATTCCTCACTCAAATTTCTCTGATAAGAAAGAGCCACCTTTGCCAAGGGAGCCTGAACTTCAGTGTTCCTTCACTTGTCAATTAAGAAGAAATCAACTGAGCCAGTGGTTTAGAATGATGGTAACAGAAGCACCATTTGCCTGCTCCATCCCAAACAGCACCTCTTGGACTCTGACTATTCTGATGAGGTAATGGCATCTCTCCACGGTTCTGTCCATATGGTGCCCATGAGAGAGAGAGATTGGCTAAATCGGGTTTAGAGACCAACCTTAGGACAAAGGACTTTCATTCACTTCCCATTTAAATGTTTCTGCCTTTCCATCACAACACCAGGGAATCAGGACAAGCCCAAGCGAGACACCATGATTGGAACATGGCTGAGATGGGTCTGCACTCTGGACCGTGTGGTTAGATGCTTTCATGACCAAGGCATGATGCCCAGAGGACACACTGATGTGATGGCTCTCAGGATTTAGATCAGGTACCTACACAATGAGCTTATGTTGAGTATCCACCATTTGGCTTAGTTTCTTAAGCCCCTAGTAGGTGTCAGGCACGAAGCTAGGTATGGGCGAGCAGGACGTAATTAAGTGGAAGCAGCAAAGAGCAGCAGAGACAGTGATATATATCTACACTGGGTACATGAGAGGTTGTCAGTTCTGCCAAGGGGCAGGACTCGGGAGACAATTAACTGAGGAGCTGACCTGAACCGCATCTTGAATGACAGGAGGTAATCAGTATGGGGCTGGCAGCGGGGGTGGCCCTCAAGGGCACTGTAGACAGTCATGCTAGAGAAAGAGCTAAGTCCAGCTAAGAGCTATGTACAGAGCGGTGCCTGCCCAGGGACAGCTGGAGTGTGGGCAAGATGCAGGGGAAGGCTGCTGCGAGAAATGAGGCTGGAGGGTGAACACAGGCCATACCTGGAAGGCCCTTCTCTGTGCTGTGGGGAGTTCAGGCCTCATCCCGTAGGCAATGTGGAGCCACTGAAGGGTTTTAAGCAAGGAAGCAGTGTGATCAGGTTTGTACTTAACCATGCAACTCTTGATGGTGCTTTGGCCTGAAGATTAGCATATTGAATGAGGGAAGAAGCATTCGGCACATCTTTATGAAAGGTCAATGTGATTTGTTTAACCAAGCTTGCACGCGGAGCACACTGGGTACTCTAGCATGCTGCCATTATTGTATTTTATTTTATTCAGGGCTGTGGAAGGGAGGGAAGGAAGGAGGCAGTAGAGTGAGGGGCATTCCAGGCATGACTGGAGGAAAGAAAAAGAACATTTATGTGTCTTTGAAACTATAACCAGTTTCTGTGTTGCATCCACACTTGAGAAAAAATTGTGTGTGTGTGTGTGTGTGTGTGTGTATGTGTTTGGGGGTGTGTGTGTGTGTGTGGGGATCGGCAGACTAGGAGCAAGAGACAAAAGGCCATTCTGATATGAACAGAATGGATACTCCACACATCAGGGTAACAACATGTTTACAAAACACTATTGTGCTGACTCCGCCCACTGCAGTCCCGCCAGGAGTTCCTCTTCAGCCACATCTCCTGTGAGATGCAACAGCCCTCAGAGAAGGCAGGTAGCTTCCGCCCTCCCACGGTCCTCATTCACTAACATTGTTATTTCCATGAATCTCGCTAATACTCATACTTCACCCTCTGCCCTTTTTATTTCCTCACACTACAGAGCTTGGAAAGACCCAGTGTGAAGGGTACGAGCTTTGGCCTCAGACGTGAATGTGAGGGCTGATTTTGCTGCTCACCATCGGGTGACCTTGGACATACAGGTAACCAGCTGAGCCTCAATTTCCACGTTTGTAGTATGCAGATAGGAGTAGGTGTGGACTGAATGTGTGTGTGTCCCTCCCCGCCCCCCATTCATATGTTGATATCCTAACCCTCAATATGATGACTTTAGGAGGTGGGGCCTTTGAGAGGTGATTAGGTCTTGAGAGTGGAGCCCCCATGAATGGGAGTAGGGTCTCCAGGAGCTGTCTCACCTTCTTTCTGCCATGTGAGAACACAGCAAGGATTCTGCAACCCAGAAGAGGGTTCTCACCAGAGCTCAACCATGCTGACAACCTGATCTTGGACTTTCAGCCTCCAGAACTGTAAGAAGTAAATTTCTGTTGTTTATATGGTACTTCGTTATAGCGCCCTGAAATGACTAAGACGGAGTTGTCTGAGGAACAAATGAGATCATGATTTTCAATTCCCTGGCACAAGGCCTGGCCTGTGGTAAGTACTCAGTGATGCTGAGTAGCACTGATGTCGCGCCATCCTTCCTGGGGTGTCCTTATCCAGTTTCTCCAGGATAACTGCTGCTTAAGCTCCCTGAGGCCTTCTGGCTCTCCGGAGCTGGTTTGCTGCCTTCCTTTTTTACTCTGTTTACTGAATTAGCTTGCCAATAATTACTTATTTTAAAAAAATGTCCCCACTAAACTGTGAGCCTTTGGGAAAAGGGTTTCCATCTTTTATCTCTGAATTCCCAAGCCCAGGCATGGGGTCCACGACTACGTAGTGGATGCTCAATAGACACTGGTTGAAAGAATGAATGAAAGGGT